AAAGCCTGGTGTGGATGAAACTGTGGACAGCTGAGGTTCAGCAGCGTCACATTAACTCACTCAGCACGCTGTATACACGCACTGACAATCAGCAGTCTTGATTATATTCATTTATTCTTATTCTTGTCTATTCAGTGCTGTTGTTCTTAGTTTATCTTCTGTTTATTTGTTTATGTGAATTCTTTTATCTTATTTTCACAGTTTGCACCTTCGATCCCGGAGGACGATATTTCGTCCCACTTATACCTGAGTGTTTACTGTTGGCTTGACAATAAAACTCAACTTGATCCAAAGACGCAGGGCAGGAAGGTTTAGGGCGGGGCCGTCACCGACGATGACCTTGGTGGGTTAAAGCTGATGATAAACCAGGTGGAAGTATAAAGGACGATGGTCCAACCCGGGGCGGGCGCACACTGAGGATCACTCAAAGTCACCTGAACAAACTATAACATGAATATTTTGAAGCTGAAGGAAGAACTTTGTAAACGCATCAGCTGCTGAACAACACTGCTTATTATGAGTAACTGAATATACTGTAAGTAAGAATTGCTGTGATTGGCTCGTTCCTCACTGATGAGAAGCCCGGTGGTGTCACCTGGTGGTGGAGATGTAGAAATGCAGCAGAGGTTTGGAGCTCAGCAGGTGATTAACAGGCTCTACCTGTGAGATATGTACACTTTGTACTTCCTGTGTGAAGCAGCTGAACATTAACTCTCAGTGAACGGCATCGCAGCACATCTGCTGTCAGGGCCAGCCAATGACACGCTGCCACAGCTGTAAGATAAACAGGTGTGTTTCTGTGAGGATGGCCTGACTCAGGAGCTCGATTCTTACGGGGAGAGGAAGAGGAGACCCTGAGACTGACTGAGGCTGAGTGCTTGGGCACTAATCCAGGTGTCCTTCACCTGTACGTGTCAGTCAGTGCTCTGTTTCACTCCTATTGGTAGTTGCCTTATTATTTAGACAAGTTCAACTCAGGACACGCCCACCTCACAACACTAACTCCATATATTTTGCCTCCAGCTCGCTGAGGTCATCAGCCCACCCTCTCACCTGCTGCCCTGAGTCTTCCTGTCCCCATAAGAAGAACTGAGGACTTTCAATCAGATTTTGTCACGTCTGAGGTGCCTCGTGGTTTCATCCCAGCTTTCTGTTTGCGTCTGTAACGCTGCGAGAACTTTGTTAACTTTGTGACGTTTGCTGTTTGGGTTCACGTGTCCATGTAAAGCACTTTGGTTCAACTTCTGTGGTTTTAAAATGTTCTGTGTAATAAAACTGACTTGACGGCCTTATGAGCCTTCATATGTGGGGGGAGCCATGTTGTTCCCGCCTCATCCAGGTGTATTTAGTGTGAGTCGGCGCCGCGGCACTCACCGTGGCCAGTTTGTTTACATCATCATCTGAAGCGCCAAGCGACGCCAAACCGAGCTCCTGGGAGAACTGAGCGAAGCTGGGCTC